GCTACAGTTTCGCGCTGCGATCATCCATCGTCGGTCACCCCGTACGTCTCCGCAGTGTCACGAGGACCGTCCGCCGGCGTTTCTTCCTGTTCCCGCGTAGACTCCCGTAACGCGCGTGTCGCGGGTCACGTAACGCGTAACGCGGCAACGATAAGGTACATTATCGGACAGCCGCGAGTCGGGTCTGTGCATAAGTACGTGCCCGCGAGATGATCGTCCACCGGCGCGGCGCGGCAATAACGAGTCTTCATAAAGAAACACACACAAATCGCAAACGAAACATCGGTGAAAAATGGGGACTAGAGAGAGACGAGAGGCGAGAGTGTGCCGTGCTCCCAGCGCGGTAGGCAACACACACCGCTCGGGCACTCGCTGCGATTCCCCACCTTTCCCGGAGGGAGCGCGATGCAACCCCCGTGCAAGACCCTTCCTCACCGCACTCTTCCACCCTCCGACGGGTGCCGATGTCTGCGCGCGCAACCCTCGACGCGCCAAATCGCGAAATTTGTCGCGAAAGGCGCATGACGCGGCACGAGTTACGACAATCTCAATCCCGGCGTTGCTCGCCGTCGCGCCCTTCATCGGGTGCGAAACGGCGCCGCGGATAAAACCGTTATCACCGCCGTGTCCAAAGTGTCGCCTGCGATAAAAGCGGCGCGGTTACGCAATTTTATACGCTGCGCGTAATCGGAAGATTACGGCAATTCGCTACCGGTCGTTATCGCAAGCGACGCTTCGAATGTTCAGATACCGATAGATCACGGCCACCGTGCGAAGAGTAGCTCTCGTCGTACTATCGCGATTTTTTTGTCTAGTAGGACAGACGTTGCACGAGAATTGAAATTTTTTTTTTTTCATTTTTATGTGTCGGATTAAATCGGCGATTTAAGCGTCGCTGAAACGCGAGGGATTTTGCGTGGTCCTCGTGTCTCATCAATTCTGTCGTCGCATGGTTCGACGTTATTCTATATAGATCCTATATAGATGCTATCCGCATCGTCGACGACGCGTGCGCGCACCACCTTCGCTAGGTCTTGTCTTGGAGGCTACAGGAACGACGATTGCGGTGCCCGTTTTTCTACAATGCATCTTTTTTTTTTTATATTTTTAAATAGAGGCAAGCGCTCACGCTTTGAAATATAAAAACCCGACGGCAGGTCTTAGAAAGCTTTTTACACTACGGCGATAAATAATTATCGAATGAAATTTTTATACTTTTTTTTTTTTTATTAAATCATGGACTCATTTTTATTACCAAGAGCTAACAAAGGAAGCGATAAGTATGTTAAATTGTTTGAGACGGGGGGAAACATGTGTGCAGCAGCATTCGGCGCGCGCGTGTTACTCCTCCCGCACCGCCACGCGTACGCGCGCGCATCCGTACACTCACATGTAGAAAAAGACACACACCTACGGACCCGTGCACGTACATGCATACATACATACGGAAATATAATCAACGTAGGAAGAAGGGTTTTGTGAATCAACGGTCTCACCGGCAACGCCGCATTGCAGATCTGCCGCGCCGACACGCAACTGACCCCTCACCACCATCATAGCCAACTGCACACACGCACACATACACACGCTTACACATAGCTACATACATACACACATACGGTATGCAGAGAGACTCGAGTACACCGATTTATCCGGCGCGACAAAAGCAACACCGATCTACGGGACAAATACTTGGCATGATTCAAACATGTATGACGTTGTCGCAAACAATGGCTCGCATTTGAAGCTTGTCCTCAAGCAGACTCTAACTCGAGCACCGTAGCTGTCGGCGCTATGCGTACGGTGCTCTGTTGCCGAGAGAATGTACTCACTTTGACAGCGACCGATCGCGACGCATTCACAACTAATACCGCTCGACGCCTACGGAGGATAATTACGGAATGACCACGGTATTTAAGAGGATGCGACGAAGCGTGGATAGACCGAAAGGAAGAACGCGTTT